CTCATCCTCCGTGCAACTTGACGGATATGAGTACACATCTTTTCAAAGGTAGTGACCTCTACTGTGGCCAATTGTTGCTTAATCTCTGGTCTGGCTTTCTCCATTAACTGAACAGCCATCCACCAAGTGTTTCGATAATGATCTAGGTATGCCACATACTTGGATAGATCTATGAATTGGCCAATAAATTGATCCTCATGCATGTTTCCCTGTTGCAGGGCATAGAACTCCGCTTCCTTCTGTTGTCTCACCTCCATTGGAAAGAAGTAATCAAAGAATAAATCCTTGAATTGATTCCAAACCATCCTCCTATCATCCATGGGTCTCACACTATCCCACCATTGCTTTGCCCTTCCTTCTAACAGAACCTTGGCAACCTGCACCTTCTGCTGGGAACTACAATTCACCGTACTAAACAGGGTTTCCAATCGGTCTATCCAAGCCTCTGCTTCTACAGAATTCAGACTACCCTTAAAAGTTGGAGGGTTGAAGCGGCCTATATACTTCCAGACTGTTGTTATAGGAATGTCTGGTAACACCTCAGCAACCTCTTCTTCATTTACTGTTTCCTGCTCATTTGACTGGCCCTCATTATGTCCAATGCTATCACCATCATGATGACCTTCCATCTCTTGAGAGATTTCAGCTTCCTTGTTCCTTCGATTATCTTCCATTTTTCTAACCCGCTCGTCAAGGGAAAGAATTACAGCTTGTAATTGCCTTAAGATCTCATCATTAGTCTGATTAGCTTGGCTATTGCCATTAGGTGGCTGGCGACTTCCCTCACCAGCATCAGCAGTACGCCTGGTACTTACCATCTCTCCCCACCTAAGGGTAGAACCCCACAAAAAGAAAGGTAAACACTTAAGAAAGGAGAAAAGAGGAGAAATTGAAGGGAAGTATAAGTGTAATGATTGTATATTGCCATAGATACTATATGAAATGCACCAGGAATCACACAAAACCTTGAAACTGATACCAAGTTGAAAAGACCTCTTCTTAATACATAATTAAAAACTATTTTTAAAATGATAACCATGGTAGAAAAAGAATTGAGTTAGAGTGTTAAAATACTACCATGGTTATAATGAGTTTGACTTATTTCGAAAACGTCCCAAGTAGCTCAGGATACATAAAACACCCATGGATTTAACAACGTAGAACAAAGCCTCAGGGCACAGTAACCGCCCACAAGCCCAACATAATATTCATCCCCAAAAACTTAGGGCACAAGAAACATAGGTTGCTCAACCCAGCCCATAAGGCATACACATAAGAGTATCACATACAGCAGAGTCTTATGGCCTTCAGCCATTTTAACAGCATTCCATCAAATACAGTCATCTAAACAAAAGAAAGTATATGTCAACACAGTTGTGGGCCCTAAGATGGCAATATACATAACATTATATGTCTAAACCAAAAGAGGACTACTAGGCTATGCTCGCTTATGCCTCTGGTTTCTTCCCTTCACGTCGAGCCAAACTAGATGGCTCTCCTGAAAAGTATTGATGAATAGCGGGGTGAGACGTAAAGTCCCAGTAACCAAGTATTAATTTATGACATATACAAGTAGGATGGTAAGTTGGTGAAGTAGTGCTTAAATATAGTTTAAGAAATAAATGATACTTTAATAGATACAATCACATAAAAGAGTATATCTCTCCATCCACAACACAATTCATATAAAAGTACATATATGCAACAACACAATGAAATATGCCCTCCCATCACCTTTCTCCTCCTTATGACTCCTTGACAAGGACCCGGGCTTTCTGTGCTGAGTAACCCGGCCAAAGGTCACCCCACTCACATCAAGCAACGGGCCCCCTCCTGTACCTACACCGCCCAAGAATGGATTATGGTGCAAGAGGTGTCTACCCAAGAGTTCATTCTCAATTCCGAGCCAAGGAAAAGGAAGAACTACAGGGGTCTAACAATACGGCCAAACACTGGGATCCATAGTGTAGGCATGCCGCGCGGGCTTCAAGAACAATTATCCTCCACATAACAAAATCCCATCTTCCACATATGAACCCCATGCATAGTTACAATATAAATCAAAATATCACAATCTTCAAAGTAAGATGATATAATTTCAAACAAAGTATAACACATTTTCATTTCATTTAATAACATAATATTAGTATATTAAATTCAGTACTACACGAAAACACAATTTCCAATAAAACACAACGCAAACATAATTAGATCAACATACTTCCCACTTCACCAAAATTTGTCATATAATAAAATATATATTTTATTCACAGGCATACTTTTACAAATTAACTAAGAAAATAAAAACATAATAGACACCTTACAATCCAAAGAGTGTATATAAAATAAATTGACCCCGGTTACCTCTACTCCAAGCTTAACCTCACAGCTTGAGAAATAAGAGCGCAAATTACAAACTCCGAAGTACAAGATAATCTACAAATAATATAGATACAATTTAATATACATACAAATAATTAACTTAAATTACATAGAATTTATTATTAATAATATCTATACATATATTTACTATCCAAAAATTCTTACTTCAAATAACAATTTTTCTCTACCCAAATAACTCATTTAAATTATAAATATTTATAAAATATTGTTTTTATCTAATATTGTAAGAATCTCAATTTATAACTTAAGTTTCCAGTTTTAAAATTTTTCTAATAATATAGTCTTAACCTATTTTACATTTTAAACCGATTAAAATATCAATAATACATTAAGTAACCCAAATAAGTTATTTAACTTAAATTTAATCGGTAAAAACATTCTATATATCTTGAATGATACATTTTCCAACCAGAATCTTAGTTTAAAATTCTCAAAACAATCAATAAACAACTATAAACCGATTAAAATTTCAATAATACATCAAACAACCCAAATAAATTATTTAACTTAATTTTAATCGATATAAATATGATATATATCATAAGTGACAGATTTTTCAACAAAATAAATTTGATTTTAAATACCATAGGTACTAAATTAACAAATCTAAACCGATTAAAATTTCTTAATAATAAATCTTTAAATTCCTACGGTCAAATATCTTCGAAACTCAATACTTACTCTATACCCAAATCACAAAATTTTCTCTAAACATTATAATGATACTACTAATATAAAGCTCTAAATATATAGGAAATATTCATAAGGAAAAAATTTAATAGAAAGAAGTGTTTAATGTACCTATATGATCCCCAAAACTTATATGACTCTTCAAACTGCTAACACTTCTCTTCTTTTCTCTCAATCTCTCCTTCTGCGCATCTCACTCTTTCTTTCCATTCTTTGCGATCATTCTCTCTTTTTATTCTTCAAATTGCCAACCGTCCTTCCTCAATTTTTCTTCATTCATTAATGCTCCCTCCATATTTTCTTCCTTCAGTCAAAAACTCCCCCCCCAATTCCTCTTCCTCTTAAATACGTTCAGCTTTCGGTGGAAAGCTGAACGTGTTGTCCCCTTCCCCCATTTTTTTTTGTTTTAATAAAATATTATTATTTAATAGTAATAAAATATTATATAATATATATTTTTTTTTGAAAAAAAATAACTTCTTTTTTTTTAAGGATGTTACACTAAACTTGTCATTTCGTAAAGAAATATGAAAATTCTGTCATTTTAACAGTTTAAACTTAAATTTGTATGAGTAGATTATCAGAAGTTGTCATTCGACTCACTAAAGCTGTCATTAGCCTTACTGAAGTTGTCATTCGTCTAGGAATGTGAAAATTGTCATTTTAATACACAAACTTAAATTCCTATCAAATGCTTATCAGAACTTGTCGCTTGTGTTACTAAACTTATTATTCACCCTAATAAACTTGTCATTGGCATCTCATTGGCGTTAAATCAACACTTGTTATTAAAAGTCTGCAATAGAAAATGACAAGTTTGTAATAGAAAATTACAACTCTGCAATAAGAAATAAGAAGTTTATAATAAGAATTATAAGTCCGCAATATGAAATTATAAGTCCACAATAAGAAATAACAAGTCTGTAATAGGAAATAACAAGTCTACAATAAAAAATAATAAGCCTGAAATGAAAAATCACAACTTTGATATAGGAAATTACAAGTTTGCAACAAAAAATAACAAGTCTGAGATTGAAAATTATAAGTCTAAAATAGAAAATTACAGGTCTAGAACAGGAAATTATAAGTCTCTAATAGAAAATAACAAGTCCAGATAACCATCTAACATCTGTGACATCAAAGCTAATTTTGAACATTTCTTGACAATATCAAGTCCAGGCAATCATCTGATAACTGCATTCATGGATAAAGTAACATATAATTATCATTTGATAACATATAATCGTCTGAATGTGGGGGTGTTATTGGTAGGCTAGGCTTCACTCACTTGTCTCTCAAAATGCATCCTCTTCAAACCCTGCAACAAGGATGTTAGAGTTGTTAGCTTATACTCGAAAGGCTTGGATTTCAACTTTTGTGCTTCTCGTTGGGCTGATTGATTATTTGTTCATCCCTTTCTAACTTCAAAGATAAAAAAAGGTTGGGACCCAGGCGGGTGCTTTGCTTGCTTGGTTGAAAGAGAGGTCAAAAAAAAAATCGTACCCACCCACAACTCAGCACAAACACAAATGAAATCTATTCGATTGCCTCAAATGCTTAGTTGAAATGCTTAGGTGAAAGAGAAGGACGAAGCGGGAGAGAGGAGAGAAGAAGGAAAAAGAAGGAGAAGGTGAGATGGAGGAAAGAGAATGAGAGGGCATTTTTGCCTTTTTCTCAACATTTCATAATTGATATTTAAGATCCGGTCTCTAATAGCAATTTTATGAATTGAAGAACCCAAATGGCAATTTTATATATTTCAAGGTCTTTTATTGCAATTGTCCCATAAATTTATGTATATTATATATTAAATAGAATTATATATATAAATTCTGGGTAATGCCAGATATGCACGATGGCATATCTTGCCCTACACCTGGCTCTGCTAAATGCCCAACTATTTTTTGGGTTGCTTCTTGACTTTAGGGGGCTTGGGTGGGCATTGCTCATGATCACCCCTACACTCACGTTGCCTTTCCTTCTTCTAACGGCATGGAGCAAAAAACTCATGCTTAAGGGCCTCCTCTGCACCGATTCTCAGTCTAGGGTTCACCATCAAGCACTTGTCCAAGAGATCAAGCAGTAATCTTAAATCGCGAGAGACTTCCAGGAACCCTCGAGAGACTTCCAGGAACCCTCGTTTCTCAATTTTCATTCTTTTTTCGAACCAAACTTGAAATCGCAAAGGTGACAAACCTTGTTTACCATATAAGTCCTACAACACAAGCAGTTAGATTTAAGTTGTAATGATGAATTTGAATCAAAAGTCAGAGTAGATTCCAGTCATATATAATAGATAGATACCGCAGGGAATGAGGATTCCCGATTGTGTAGCTTAGCAAGCTCCCATAGATCCTCACTGCCTCTCAGTTGAGCTATATCCTTTATGCTCCTGAAGATTACGGGTAACGGAAATTGTAAGAATGACAAGTGAAGGTAAATAAGCCATGCATGCTGTAAGTGTTGGATTATAGTAGAAATTCTTACTGTTCAGGGTCTCCAGTGAAAGGAGTTTTTCCCATTATGAGATAGAGCAAGGATACGCCGGCAGACCAGATGTCAAGCTTAGGACCTTGATGTGGAGACCTGAACAATACCTGCACAGAGTACCCACCGATCACCATCAAGCTTCTTGCTTCCTTAGAAAAAGTCATATTATATTTTTCAATCCATTCATTTCATCAACAAGCTCACATTCATAGCCTACCTCTGGAGCCCGATAGCCCCTTGTTCCCACCCAAGGACCTTTTCTTATCTGCTCTCCAGGACCAGCGGCATCATTGGCAATTGGTTGTTTTGAAGGCATGGGAGAGCCGTCGACAGGGTTCTCATCCGGAAACTGAGAAAAGCAGCAACAATAGGCTAAATTACAAGATAAAACAGATTTATATTGAACAGCACGAAAAATCTGTTCATGTTATGCTACAGAAACAAAATACTAACCCTGGCATGATAGAAATCAGTCAGATACCCTTTTTTAAGCTTACGGGAGAAAAGGAAACTCCCAGGTTTAACATCTGTGTGTATCACTCCCTGCGTATGCATAAGCAATCATTAGAACCTCTAATTTTCCTAGGGTTGCATATGTTACAAAAATAGAATTCTTTATACCCCCTCGTGAAGAGCTGCAAGAGCCCGGAACATGCAGTAACCATACCGTCGGAGCTGATCAATACTAATTTCCTCCTTTAACACCTATGTGAGGGCAAAAATCATAAGAGTGAAAACAGAGAAAATAACACAAAACTTCCATTTAGATGTGGGAAATTTACCTCAGGCTTGTCGTGCTCGATATATTGGAGAACAAAGCAATGAGTATTTCCATTCTTGAATCTGTCTTTATAGTTAATGATATAGTTTTTGCCTCTGAATTATGAAGTCATTGTGACAGATAAGTCATTAAATAACTTCAAAAGCTTAACCGGCAACGCAAAATGTTGAAGAAATATTTCTGAATTGTGCTTACCCATGTTGCTCCAGCACTTCCCACTCCTTAGCAAGACGTTGACGTTGCTCGTGAGCTTCAGCAGCAGGACCTGAAAAGCCACAATGATAAATTAGCAATTTCTACTTCTGAGAGGTCATAACTTGTCTCGTTGATGAACACTGAAAACTTAAGTAAGATTTTCTGATGTTTCATGGTCAATAACATGGAAGAGCACCAAGTCACATCAAAATAGCGTTTTCATTAAGAAACCCATGGCATTTCGAGTGGAAGAGCACGAAGTCAAATCAAAAAGAACAGGCTAACAGCTGGCTTAGATTACAAATTAATAAACCTATGGCATAATCTTCTTTTTTCTCTGTCAAAGCGTAAATGTTACAATTTAATTATCGTTGTATTTTTTGACATTATTTTGTTATTATCAATTAAATTGTATTATTTTAACATGATCGGTCTGACCAATATGACTTACTGACTCTTAAACCACTATCTCAATCAGTTGAGTATCCGGTCCGGTTTTTTGTACCTTGTTTTAATGGGATACATTTAAGGGCAACCCTGGTGGCTCCACCTCCACTATTCTTCCTCTTTGCCTTGTAAACAGTGCCATGAGCACCTGCAAGATTAAGTTTGTTAGAAGAGCTGTCAATGAATTCATACACTCGAAAAGAATTGGATCAATGTGGACGCAGCGTCCAAATCAGGAACCTATCAACGTTTTAATACCTTTGCTTACTTCCTTTATTTCCTCGTACGATTTAGATGCTAGAAAATCCATAAGCTTCTGTTGATCCTACATAACAGGGATCAATAGTTCTTCATCAGAAAAACTTGGACTTTACATATTTAATGACTTGTAGAGAAAGCAAAAGATGAATTCCCAGTATAATTGTAAAAATATATCCTAGCCAAAAGGTAACAAGATAGCAGTGTCTAATGTTATGTTGACCCATTGCGCCAAAGTGGTGTGCCTGTGGCAATGCTTATTTGTCAGAAATCAATATAATAAATTCCCACTTTTGTTAACAAGAACAGAGATGTACTTCGCACAGACAATAAAATGCACAATCCATGCAGTATCAAGTTTATGATTCATTATAAAATTAAATTGGGAGTTCATCACAAGTCGAGACACAGCTTAAGCCTCTCATAGGAATTACAGTTACAGGGAAGATGGACAAAAGAAGTCTTAGCAATGGAGAAATTGTTAATACTCGGAAAATATCTTTTATCAGCAAAAAAAAAAATAGAGATGGAATTTTCTGGAAATATACTAGTTTTCTTCAATCCTTTTGCGGAATACACAACCGCGTATTGAAGCCTCTTCTGAAACAAACCCAGAATGATCGTTTACGGAAGAAAGAAGAAGCAAGCAAACCCCCCAGTTTGTTCAATAGTCTTCCCAGAGGGAAAAAAATTCACATAAATAGCCACAAGTCAGCTACAATTGAAGAGATTTAATTTCCATATTTCAGCTGGAAATCTGCACAATTCAACGGAAGGGGGGAAAAAAACAACTGGAAAGAATCTCACAAACGGCTTTGGAAAGAGGAAAGCAAGATCGAATGGGGTTAGAGAGAAAGAGGGTCTTGTTAGTGATAGTAACTAAATTCTCCAAGGGCTTAAGTGGATCTTCCAATTCCTCACTTATGCTACGAAAGACTTGTTGGCAGCAACATCCGCAAATAACTAGCTAATTCAAGTCGTGTCCTATGTTCCGCAACTACTAACAAAACAAGAAATGACATTTTAAAAAATTAAACGGATTCTTACCATAAGAATAGAGTGACCAGAACAATGAAAGATAGAAGAACTCAGTATGGTCGAATACCAGAGCAAGAAAGAAAGAATTGTCTGAAAGCTAAGAGTCTCGTACCTTTTTTATAGATCAAAATATGGGCACGTTTAATGAAAATTAACTCAAACACAACTAAATGAGCAGTTTATATGGTTATTATCTTGCTTAATGATGACTAAAGTCACCGGTTACAAACATGGACGACGCATTTGACGTGCGCAATGTGACGTCTTGTGCATTATCAATAAACAGATTTGAGTTTACTCATTGATTGATGGATGAACAGTGCCATGAGAAGCACATGCATGTCCACGTCCACCTTTGATGAGATGCAAGTGGGCAACAAGTAGGGTTCAATTTCACTCTCTCTCTGACACACACACACACTAATTGAAAGTGAAAAGACACACCAGCAGCTTCGTCGGGCTTGCTGGTGCTTTATCATCACTCCACCGCCCCACAATTTTGATGATGACATCCATAAAACTATCGTACAACGACGTGCATGATGTTGATGATGCGCCAATCAACTGCATGGGAGTTTTTACAGATTGTAAAATGAGTAAAAAAAATATTTTTATTGTCAATTAATTATCAATCAATACATACTTGTTACAAATAAATAATTTAATTAATTTTTAATATATAAAGTTATCTAATTTTTAATATATTTACTGAAATGAATATCATTCAATTTAGCACGCTGACATGATTTTATATATTCTTTCTTTGTTTTCTTCCTCATTAGGAATGATGGCTTAAAGCCATGTTTTCAAATAAAAATCATCACAAAACATTACAAATATGCAATTCAGTGGACTATCAGTGTCTAAAATATTAAAGTTCGGAAATGTTGGATGAACTTTTTTTCTCAATCTAAGATATTAATTAATCACACAAAACAGGCGCGCGCACAAATATGTATATAACTCAATTTCATTTGATATAAAATATTTGTTCACTTGAAACCTGGAAGCGACCCAATGCCTCTTAAATAAACTCTCCAGTTTAAATTTCGTGAAAACAAAAAAATTATAATACAATGACTTCTATTGATTAAGGACATGACAAACATGGCCAGGAAATGACCCAGCTCTACTCCCAATTATATCACCAGATACAAAATAAACTTCATCCGAAAAAAATGTACACTGCTTTTTCTAAAAAGGAATTTAAATAAATTGGATTCTGATTTCTGGGAGCTTACTAAAATCAGCAGAAGTTTCACAACCACAACTTAGAAAAAATGGTTGTAGAGATAATTAGATATTTATTTATCGTTGCTTTTGATTCCAAACGTGAAAGTTATGCTGAAGAATGAAGCTACGCTTATCAAACATACGTAAGCTTGTTGACTTTTACACAAATACAAAAGAAGAAGAAGAAAAATAAAAAAGAAAAAAATCAATTTCCTAATCCATTTCCTTCCACTTTATGATTCTCCTAAACGCATGGTTGTCTTTGAGGATTGCAGCATTATTCTATTATAGATAATGGTTTTACGAGATATTTTGTCGACGTCTAAAGATTATATACACAAAGTATATTTAAAAATTCCCATCCTTCTCTTGTAAAATTTTCCTATCCGTATAGAGATATAAATCACAAAGTATAAGCGTGCATCAGAATTTTTTTTCCCTCTATTTTCTTCTAACATGGATTGATAAATTTGTGAAGTTTTTCATAATGAAAATGTAAGATTATGAATTTTGTGAGATCAAAAAAGGGATTAACATGCAAATCTATTCGTGAAGAACTTTACTATGCGTAGTCGCTATGAATTTCTTTAGATGCAACAATTATTACACATGAATATTTTAAAATGAAGTAAAACTATCATTTATATTAAATGTAGGTAATATCCTTTACTTTATAATACTGCACCAAGTGTACCCCACCATACTAAGGTAACCAACATTATGTGTAGATAACATATGTGACATTTTTGCTGAAAACATTCATTTGTATTGTTGCCCCCAAGAAATTTCATGGTGCTAGGTGTGCATGTAGAATATTTTGTGAGAACTTTATTGCAATAAAAAATTCAGACTTGAGGATAATCCACACTTATGTCGTCATCTACTTTTACTTTATTAAAGTATCTTTAGAAAAGTAGCTTTGTAAAAGTAGCTTTATTAAAGTAGTTTGTCCTGTAGTCTATTTCGTCCTTTTGTAATCATTAAAGTGAACCTCATCATTAGGATAGGTCATAATGACGTCTACCCGTCATCATGAGATGTACTATTAGGCCTTTGTCATATAGTGACCCCGAACCCCTATATAAACCCCACTCTGCCTTCAGTTACGGGCAAAAGGAGTGTATCGACTTCCTTGTATAATATTAGTGTGCTTTCCTCATGAGTTCTCTCTAAATTTCTCTCTTCTTCTGAAAGCCTCACTTATGATATCTTTCTTCTGTCACCAGAGATTCTAAGTATGCTCTGCACTTACCTCTTTAAGAGGATCCTGTGCATCAGAAAATAGAATCTGACCACGATCCATGAAGGAGTGTTTAGTGACAATCTTTCCAGTTATCCTAGCTCTGGTATTCAAAGCTGAGAGTCCTAACGTGGCCTGTTGATGAGTTGAGAATGAGTGGCCTTACCTGGACTGAAGCCTTGAATATCAGACTATGTTAGCTTGGTTCGATTCAGCTAACACCCCCGTGTGGTATCAGAGCCAGCACAATTCCTGACAGACGTGAGATATCATTAGTGAAGGTGAGTAAGAAGATACCGTCTTATCATGAGTGAAACTTTAAACAGTCTTGAACCCGTTCGCCTTTCTTCTTCCTTTACTCCATAAAGACTTCCCTTCTCTGTTCGGAGAACTCTTTCCAGAAAAATAGAAAACCTTGTTGAGATAGATCATCTTCCTGAAGATGCTAGAGTCCAAGAAACGAATCTACCTCTTCTTAGTCCATACAACGTTTATCATCGTACCAATCGTGTCACTAGAAATGTTAGAAGCTTGATCTCCACTCAGAGACCTCATGTTAAAGAAGTAGTCCAGTCTACCAAACTAGAAAATTGTGGTCTTCCTACTTCTTCCTCTGAACAATATGTCACTATTGACATACCTCAACCATTGATCAACGAGTGGATAGCTCAAGGTTATACCCATCTTCATATTGGTGCTGTGCGCCTCATTCTTACACTCCATGGGAGAAAAGGAATTCCAGCTACTGCTAAAATTGCTTTAGTTGATACTACCTATACTACCTACAGTAATGCTTTGATTGGCGCTATTCTGACCACTCTTAGCAATGGTAGTGTCATCCTTACCATGGCCCCTGATTTCAATATCAAGCTTTCAGATCCAACTTTGACGAACAGACTAAAAATCCAAGTCCAGATAGTTGGAGCAAAGCAAGATCCCAGAGCTATCACAGCAACCCTTCATCATCAAGTTCTCTACAGACTCCAGAACCATGCTCTTGATCTTCATTTCCCAAATTCCACCAAAGATGCTCTTTATGTGGTTTCTGATAGAGATGATGATACCTCCATCATCCAGATTCCTAGAAAAATCCCAAAAGAGGAACTTGCTCAGCTGATGCCTCTTGAGTGGATCACCAACTATGAAAAACACTTTCATGGTGTACAAAGGGATGTTCATACTTCTACCCCTCCTGAGATAAAAAGGCTTCCAGATGGCACTGTCAAGACAGTGTTCACCAAGCCAAGCCAGGAAAGTTCTTCTGTATCTTCCGGACGTATTCTCACTATCACCCCGGCCTATGTCTCATCTAAGGGAGAACCTCCTATTGGTTGGATAGACCAGAAAGCCAAGCCATGTTATGTGTCTCACATAAATGGCCATTTCATTTGGGATCATGCACCAGAAGAATGTGATCCGGACTGTGATTGTGACACACCATACTGGTGGGAAGCTTCTGACGATGAATGATGATGGATGGTCTTACCCCATCAGATATGCCATAAAAAAGAAGAAAAAGGAAAAGAATACATCTCTTTGTTCCTACAAACATTACCATCATCACTATGATGATGATGATCATGGTCCGAAGCAGAAGGCTAGAAGCTGGAAGGCTCCTGTCCCTACTGTTCCCTCTAGCAGATTATCTCTATATGATCTGCTTAAGAAACAGGTCATGAAGACCTCCTGCCTAGACAAAAACCAGATCCAATGATTCCTGCCATCCAACAATCCGTCTCGTGTATAGCAATGATGGATCCCTATGAGCAGGATTTTCCTCCTCTTGAAAGAAGAACCAACAGAGAAACAAAGGTTACAGCAAGACCTTTCTCTGTTCCAACAGAAATCTCTCCTACTGGTGTGAAACTAGACCAGTCTCAGCAGCAGAAAAAGTTCTCAACTGGCAGACCCAGAATGCGATCGGCCAGAATAGAACTCTGACAAAGATTGATTCAAAGCTTGACCTGCTGACTCTTACAACTGATACTCTGACGAGCAGACTTGACCAGGTCTCTGATCAAGTCAAGCAGCTTTATATGACTCTGACTTCTCAGTAGGGGTGGGAATAGGCCAGGCGGCCTGTCAGGGGCCTATAGCCTGGCCTGCTTTTGGCCTGATCAGGCCAAGCCTGTTAGAAAATAAACACAGGCTCAGGCTTTTTTTAAAGCCTATTTCACCTAACAGGCCAGGCTCAGGCTCTATGAGAAGCCTATTAAGCCTGTCAGGCGGCCTGGGCCTGTTAAGTATTTAAGTATTATATGTAGAGTGCAAAAGATAGGTCTCAAGTTGAGGACCTGATGAGAAGAATGCAGCACCTCCACCACCAGACCAACGTGTGTTGTTAACATCTTTTTCACATAAATATATCTTATTTGCTCCCCCACACTTAGTTCCATCAGAGACTCAGAGTATCAGACCAATAGACGCACAACTTCCCCTAGGTTTAGCATTTTGCCTCTGTCATCGCAATTCGCAAGTTCGCAACTCGCCGAGACGCCAATGCCAACTCCAGTCTCCAGACTCCGGTCACCGAATCCGAGTCCTATAGACCACACTCCGCTCTTCTTAGTTCCTCGA